CTAAATCACCACTCACTCACCACTCACTCACCTAAACTCACCACTCACTCACCACTCACTCACCTAAACTCACCACTCACTCACCTAAACTCACCACTACCACTCACCACTCACTCACCTAAACTCACTCACCACTCACTCACCACACACTCACCACACACTCACCTAAACTCACCACTACCACTCACCTAAACTCACCACTCACTCACCACTCACTCACCACTCCCATTCATCACTCACTCATACACTCACTCACCTAAACTCACCACTCACTCAACACTCACTCACCTAAACTCACTCACCACTCACTCACCACACACTCACCTAAACTCACCACTACCACTCACCACTCACTCACCTAAATTCACCACTACCACTCACCACTCACTCACCTAAACTCACCACTCACTCACCTAAACTCACCACTACCACTCACCACTACCACTCACCACTCACTCACCACTCACTCACCTAAACTCACCACTCACTCACCACTCACTCACCTAAACTCACCACACACTCACCTAAACTCAGCTAAACGCACCACTACCACTCACCACTACCACTCACCACTACCACTCACCTAAACTCACCACTCACCACTTACTCACCTAAACTCACCACTCACTCACCACTCACTCACCACTCACTCATACACTCACTCATACACTCACTCACCTAAACTCACCACTACCACTCACCTAAACTTACCACTCACTCACCACTCACTCACCACTCCTACTCACTACTCACTCATACACTCACTCACCAAAAATTCACCACTGCCACTCACCTAAACTCACCACTCACTCACGTAAATTCACCACTCACTCACCACTCACTCACTCACCACTCACTCACTCACCACTCACTCACCTAAACTCACCACTCACTCACCACTCACTCACCACTACCACTCACATAAACTCACCACTACCACTCACCACTCACTCACCACTCACTCACCTAAACTCACCACTCACTCACCACTCACCACTCACTCACCTAAACTCACCACACACTCACCTAAACTCACCACTCACTCACCTAAACTCACCACTACCACACACCACTCACTCACCTAAACTCACTCACCACTCACTCACCACACACTCACCACACACTCACCTAAACTCACCACTACCACTCACCTAAACTCACCACTCACTCACCACTCACTCACCACTCCCATTCATCACTCACTCATACACTCACTCACCTAAACTCACCACTCACTCAACACTCACTCACCTAAACTCACTCACCACTCACTCACCACACACTCACCTAAACTCACCACTACCACTCACCACTCACTCACCTAAATTCACCACTACCACTCACCACTCACTCACCTAAACTCACCACTCACTCACCTAAACTCACCACTACCACTCACCACTACCACTCACCACTCACTCACTCACTCACCACTCACTCACCTAAACTCACCACTCACTCACCACTCACTCACCTAAACTCACCACACACTCACCTAAACTCACCTAAACGCACCACTACCACTCACCACTACCACTCACCACTACCACTCACCTAAACTCACCACTCACCACTTACTCACCTAAACTCACCACTCACTCACCACTCACTCACCACTCACTCATACACTCACTCATACACT